GGAGCTGGTCCCTCCTGGGCTCTCCGGGAGCAGAGCCTGCACATCCTGTGATCAGCTCAGGGAAGCTGCCTCTATAAACAAACATTTCACCTGTCTAGAAAACAATGTCACAGGGGAAAAAAAACTGAAAAGCTGACCAAAGTCTATCCCATCAGATTAACTCCCTGTGGCTGGAACAGCTCAGACAGACAACAATGACATGGACTGACATGACCTGAACTGAAATGAGGGGCTGATCATCACCCCAGGTCTGCAGGGAATCCCTTTGGGGTGGGTGTGGGGGAGCCCAGGCTCAGAGGAACTGCTTTCAGGGAGCAGCAAACAAAAGCAAGAAAGTTAAACTCCATATTGCAAAGTGTGTATTATGAAGAAAATGACCCACATTAAATACTCCATTGTTTTGACCCACCTCCAGCAGGTTTCCTCTCTTTGTTCCCATCCACCACAACTTTCAGACTTTCGGTTTCTTTCTCTGAATAAACAGCACATGGTCCTACACTTACTAAATTTTAATTTGTTAGACCTATTCCCTTCCAAAAACGTAACTTTAGTATTACATGTGTTTGCTCATGTGCAGAAACATCTTTTGAAGCAGCACCTCTGCAAAGCACAGGCAGTAATGGAAACACCAACTGGAAGTAAGACATTGGCCCCGAAGGCAGGAGAACACACTTGTCTGCAGGGAAAAGGGACATTCTCCCACCATCCCAAAAGAAGGGCTGCTTGCTTTGATGGACAGTCTGTAAAACCCAACCAGCTGCAGCCTCCCCAGCTCTGGCCTGACCACAGCCCCATACACACAACAGCATTCAACCTGCAGGGAATATCAAAGGTAACACTTGGATAAACTTGGATTAAAATCTGAGTTTTATCTTGAATGACACCACAGAAAGGATGTGTTGTATTGTGCAGAGTCATGGAAGGGAAGAAGAAACATTTCTAAACCAAGCAATAAAATAAGGGCCAAGTTAGGCAGAAGTTTCAGCAGGTGCTTCAAAAATTCACAGCCAAACATGTGCTAAAACAACAACAAAAAAAAAGCCTTTCAAAACCTCCACCTCCTCTTATTAAATTATCTAAAACAGATGAATCAGAAAAATTCTAGAAGGGTCTTTTCTTTGTACAGTCTAAAGGCAGATTCCTGTGCTCACATACTGGTTCCTAAGAAATATTCTTTAAAGCACCAACCTGACTTAGAAGTTCTGTCAGCTTCAAACCCTGATGTGCAGTAAGATCAGACTGAAATATTTCAGACTTCCTGACTCATGGAGTTACTGCCTTGATCATCACAGCACATGGGAACACCACGATAAATAGCAAAAAATCTGCGTATTGAATTTGCACTGTTTCCGCCTTGTATCACATCTGGGCCTTGGAAGTGTCTTTTTTCAGAAGAGACAAACTGAAATTTAGGGTTCTCACACAAAGCGTTTATATGACAGGGAGGGAACAATGCCATTGGGAATTCTCTGTCTCTTGCAATTCTCTGTGCCTCAGTACTTTGTACCCCCTTCTTCCTGTCAAAGACTTGTGACAAATATCCAAAACTGCCCCTTGGCACTCTGACACTGAGCTATGTCAGAACTCCAAGTAATAGAAACATATTTCTGAGTGATAAAAAGCTTATAAACAAACTCCCCCAACAACAAATAAAAACTGTAGAAACTGGTAACATTTAATAAAAAATTAAGAGTAGAATAATAGCAAAACTTTTGTTTAACACAAAAGAAGATTTCTGCTGAGTTTAAAAATACTGTCCCTTGATTGAGATAATAAAAAAATAATATTTCACAGCTATTTTCCCAGATATTTGGGAAATGACAACATAATCACAATCTAACTTCCAGTAATTTTTTTTTTTTTTTTTTTTTTTTTTTTTTTTTTTTTTTTTTTTTTTTTTTTTTTTTTTTTTTTTTTTTTTTTTTTTTAAGAATGTCTACATGAAGCAAATTACCATCTTCTGAGAAGCTGTGAGTACAGAAATCCTTCCCAGGGCACTAAAAAAAGCCACTGAATTGCATCTTGCAAATTGAACCTTCCAGCAGCTTAATTTGAAAGTGAAGCAGATAACTCTAATAAAAAATAAATTTATAGTCTGAGATGGAACTTCAAAATTAGTTCATTTAATCATATCACAACCCCATTTTTATGAAGATGCAATTTGGCTTCTGTCCTCACCTCAGCATGGCATTTATCTGTGCCATGCTCTCACCATTGATTTCCAAAGCACCCAGACAAAAACAGAGCCAGAAGTGGATTCATTTCATATGTGGAGGATGAAAATGATCCAGCTGGAAAGTTTCCTGCCTGACCATTCCTAGCATGGACTGTGATGGGAAGGACCCCTGTGCCTGTGTTGGGTGCATGACAAAAGGTGTTCAATGCACTGCTGAGAAACAAAGTCATGTCCGTCAAAATTATTTTTCCCACCACTGGCACAGTGAACAGAATTCACCCCCTGCAATTTCACTGAAGACAACAGACTCAAATGCTATAAATATTTTAAACATCTAAACATATTGTACACACTACATCAACATTAAGTTAAGAGGGAAAAAAAGTAATTTGCCTCTTTAAAATATCAATAAATTAACACAGACAAAAAGAGAAATATTTGACACTAAAACCAAGCTAATGAGGCAACACTAAAAGTGTCTGTACAGTGGATGAAACTTGAATGCATCAATTTGCTGCAACTCCTCTCCATCCTTATCTCCTGGAGACTTCCAGATTCTGATTTTCACCTCTTACAGGAAATGTCTGAGCTGAGGAAGACTTGGAAATGAGTAAGGCAACTGAAAACAGCCTGGCTGTCAGGAATGTTAGAACTGAACCTTTGCTGCAAAGCAGCAACAGCTGCAAGAATGCATCTGGATCAGCCACCACGCTCCAAGTGCAATTCCAGGCTCAGGGCTGAAGGAGCAACTGCTTCAGCTCCAATTAAATCTCTATGCCATGATTTAGACCCCTTAGCAGTTTCAAAAACTTTCACAATTTTCAAAAACTAGCACACAATGCTCCTATTTAAACCCTCTATTTAGCCATAAAAAACCCTAAAAGCAACAATCTTTGCTTTGCAGCTTCCACTTAAACCTGAAACTGCTATTTCTAGGATTTTAGGCCCCAGCAGATTCTTCTCTTCTACGAAGTTCAATCAAATGCTATTTCAGTGATACACTGCATCATTTCAAAGACTTGGAAATGTTAGATAAGGTGAAGAGTCAAAAAAAGGCTACAGGGAGTTTACCTGAGAGGCCATTCCAAAAATACCACACACACACACACTTTGATATGAGTGACTAAAGCCCTTGAATTGTTCCCTGAAGCCCACCTTTGCCATCACACCCACAGAGTGCCCGAGACAATCAGCCAGGATGTGCAGGAGATTATTATCCCACTTCTCTTCCAAGTGAGTCACTCCACCCCTGTGCTCCCCCACGGCTGTCTGTGTCTAACCAAAATTCCGACTGCCACGGCTCTGCTGAGCACATCACGCCAGGCGTGTCTGCGAGAACCAGCACAAACCCCTCCCTGCTCTTTACTACAGAGAGCAAGAAATGGTGGCGTGAAGGCAGCAGGGTTTAGACAACCTGTGCTCTTAAAATCTCAGATGAAGAGGATGTTTATCTTGAGAGCTTTGGATTGACAATGGATGAAATCCATTCTAGCTGGAAGCTGATCAAGATGCCACTCAAATGCTCTGCCCCAGGGCCCTCCAAAAGAAGGAGAAGGAGGCAGCAGTAGCAGGGGGTTCTGCCCCATCCTCTTCTGAACAGGTACACACACATCCAGGAGAGGAACTCAAGTGTACCAGCACTGAGTGCTGACAAATACATGCCATGCCAGGAATGCTTCGTCCTGCAGCTCTCTCTCCTTCCCCATTTCCTCACTGGCAGTCCCACGAGACTGTACTGGAGCAAATGTGGATGGGCAGCGGGGTCGGGCTGTAGCAATCGTGGCATGTGATGGGGCAGAGACAAGCTGGTATCCTCCAGGGCAAGGCATGGAGACATGGAGAGGAGAGGCCAGGGATCACAGCACAGCAGAGAGGAGGGGGGAGTTTGCAGTAGGGACAGGGCAGAGTATTAAAAATATGATCTTGATCTAGAACAACACAGACTTGAAACGATTTAACAAAAACAAAGCCTTCCCTTTGGCCAAGAGAATTACCCCAATTCTAAAAATATCACATTATTTTCCCTATCATTTTTTCATTCCCACTGTGACTAAGAGCACACCAGCTGTACCAGAGGAGCTCAGGGAATTCCCCACTCAGCAGCCCAAGGCAGTGATGGGAAGCACAAGGAGGGGCACAGAGGGCAGATGGTCGGGGGCAAAACTGCTCTCAGAGCAGGACAGACAGAGGGACAGCCCTGCACCAGGGACAGGGCGACACTGCAATCCACCACTACGGGAATACTCGGTTCACTTTCATTTCCAAAATGGCATAGTAAAAAGACAAGGATATTCTTTAGGAAAAAGTCAACAATTTGAGGGCCATTCTGCCTTCTTAACAGCATGACAGTACTCAAAACATTTAATCTAGGTTAGCTTGAACAAGCTGTGGTCAATAAGATTTGGTTCCTCAGATATTGCCTCTGTCTGACCAGTTAGATATGCTTTTGCCAACAGGATTTAGCTCCTGCTATATTTGAACCATCTTTAATCCCATGAAGGCTAAAGAAAAATGTCTCTGATTTAGCTCTGTGCACTTATGAATAACTCAAATACTACAGTTAAATTTACAACATAGTTCCTTTAGCTGTTTAGAAGACAATTGTTTTCTTTCCTTTCCCCTTAAGTTCCAGTATGTAAAATATCAGAAGAATTTAGATTAAAAAAAAAAAAAAAAAAAGGGACATGTTATTTTTAAAGTTGTTCTTGAGAAAATTTCCACATACAAACCCACGGCATTTCTCCACTGGTTTGAGAACAATTTTCACATATTGGCATCATCCTTGAGTGGCTGCCACAACTCTGGTATCATAAAGCAACACGTATTTTCTCTTAGCTTATCAAAACACATTTTATTTAACTGCTAAATTTGGTCTGATCCAAGCTTTTCTTCTTACTTCACAACAAACAGGAAAACGCAGATGCTGCACTCAGCTCCAAACATGCATCCTACCAGGGAAACGGGGCACGGAAGCCAGATCAGCCCTAGGAGTACGACTGCCCAGACCACACCGCTGCACTCACGGCTCATTAACAGAGCTCACACTGAAATGTTCACATTGTTCACTCCTGTTCTACAAGTCCTGTCTAGGTAGCACTGAAAAACAAATTGTTTGGCCCCTTCTGTTCTGACGCTGGAACATTGTGTCAATATACTTTGGCATATATTAAAAAAATCCCTGTAATATACCATAGACTGTGACATTTCCACTTCAGAGCTATCATTTACATGTGAAGCACGAATCTCCGAAGAACCCAGTAAAGCTGTAAGAAAGACTACATTTTGCCGAAGATCTCAGACACCCACTCCATTCAGTCACACCAGCTGGAGAGGTAAGTGTCAAGATACAGCTTTATTCTTTAAAATGAATGTGGAGGTGAAACTCCGCAGCCTCCTCCACAGCAATCATTTTTCAAACTGAAACCACAACGATATGTGCTCCTGATCCTTCTATGTCAGCAGCATTTCTCAGAAACCTTTTTGCAAATCTGGTTATCTTAAAATCATATCTAAGTTATTTTGCAATCTACGCAATTGTCCCTGCACTTCCCAGTCCAGCTGACAGGTGTACTAGACATGACATCCATTGGAAGATCTTTTGCTCCTAGAGGTAGAGGAGTCCTTAGCTACCCTCTGTCTAGCACACGAGGCACAGATGGCCCCCGAGAGACGCTTCAGCCCCTTCTGAAAGACACTGTTGGAGAGACTGTAAATGACACAGTTGCAGAAACTGTTGCTAATGGCAAGCCAGGTGGTCAAGAAGGACGCAACGCGGTTACTGTAGACGTTGGAGCTCTCCAGCAGGAAGTAGATGATGTAGGGCAGCCACAGGATGTAGAAGACACTGGTGATGCGGAAGAGGACCATGGCATAGCGCTTGTCCGGGCAGGGCTGGGCCTCCCCAGCCTCCCCGTCCTGCGAGCTGAAGCGCACGCGCCGCTCGTTGATCTCCTTGGTGTGCTGCTGGCAGATGCGGAAGATGTTGAAGTAGGTGAAGCAGACGATGAAAGCGGCCGGGGCGTAGAGCATCACCACAATGAAGAGGGTGAAATAGGCATCGGTGTTCCAGGAATTGGCGCACCACTGGAACACATCCCCGTGATATCCAGGCTTTCCCCAGTGAAAGGAGGGTAAGAAGACCAGGCAGGAGTAGAGCCAAATGGTCAATATGCAGATCCGCAGCCTCCACGGGGTAACCAGCGTGTTGTAGGTCAGGGGCTTCGTGATGGCAATGTATCTGTCAATGCTGATGCAGGCCAGGGAGGCCATGGAGACACTCTTCAGCACTGATACCACATAACCGAAGATTTGGCAAACCAAGGACTCACTTAAAACAATAGGATAGTGCAGCAGAGACAAAGAAGGCACCAGACAGCTCACGCCCACCAGGAGGTCAGCATATGCCATAGTCTGGATGAAGTAGCTGGTGGTGTGGTGGTTCAGCAGAGGTGCACAGTGAAAGACAAATATCACAATAATGTTGCCCGAAATAATCAGCACCATGAGGAACACAATAATAACCACTTCCAGGAGGCAAAAATTGATGGTCTCCAAATAGCTAATGGCCAGGAGACAGAAGGGCCGGCCACTCTGGTTGCTAACCAAAGAGGAGTTCATCTTGAGCACTGCAGTGATCTCTCTACTTCATGCTCCTGCCTGCTGCCTGCAGCCACTCCAGGCAGCTGCTGTCATTGCGGCTGGTGCTGTGTGTGCAGCAATGTCAAAACCGGAGCTCCAGTCCCCAGGGCTGCTCCAGATGCTGCTGCTGTGCATTGTCTGCAGCACAATTCCCCTTTAAATCCGGCTCCCCGCCGCTGCCGCTGCACCGGGACCCAGCGGCAGGCATGTCAGCAACTTCCCCGGCGCAGCGGAGAGGGCTGATAGTGATGCCCTCCTGGGTGGGCTGCCGCGCCGAGGAGGGATGAGGGGCTGGGGAAGAGGGAGAGGAACCTCCACCGAGTCAGGACGAGAGTCCTCCCAAAGGCTGACAGAGAGAAGGGGAGAGTGTTTTACAGAACCGCCTCTCCCCCGCGCTGCCACCTCCGCCGCTCCCCTCCATCCCCACGCCCTGCTCAGCGCTCCCCGTCGGCCCCGGCTGCAGCCCCGCTCCCTCCCCACGCCCCGCCGGCGGCAGCGGGAGGCGATGCCGCCTCCCGGAGCCCCGGCAGCCGGGCGGGGGGATGCGCGGCGGGGAGGGCGGGGGTCCAGCCCTTCTCCGCTGGCTCCATTTTGCACGGCGCTTTTGTTCGCCGCCTCTCCCGGCCCCGCCGTCGCCGCCCCGGCCCCGCCGCCGCCCCGCGCCCCCCGCCCGGCCCGGGGCCAGCCCGGCCCCGCCGCCCCGGCCCTACCTGCGGCGGGGGAACAAAAGCGCGGAGCATCCTCGGGCGGGCGGCGTGCGCTCCGGCCGCGGCGATGCGGAGCCGGGGGCGGGGAGGCGGGAGGAAGGGGAGGGAGGCGGCGGGAGCGCGGGGGAGGGCGCGGCGCGGCGGGGACCCGGCGGGGAGCGGGGCCGCAGCCCCGGCCCCCATCCGCCCGCCCCGGCGCGCAGGGAGCGGCCAGCGCCGGCCGCAGCCTGGGGAAGGCGGGCCGGCGCTCCGGGGGCGCTCGGCGAGGCGGATCCACGGGCGGCCGGTGGCGGTGGGAGCCTCGCCCGGCGCGACCCCGCCGCCCCCGGCAGCGCAGCGGGTCCCGGCGCTGGCGGCCCCGCGCCGCCGGTGCCGCAGGGACACACACCCAGCGCGCAGCCCGCTCCTCCTCCCGCAGCCGGCACGGCGAGCGCCAGCCGTCCATCACCGCCCTGAATTCACGCGGTTCGTCGTCACTTAAAGGCTTTTCCATCGCAGCCCTTTTGGGGGAATACCTATTCTGGAATAAACGTGCCTTTCCTAGGTGTACTGTGTGTTGCTCACAGGAGACACCTGAACACCTGAAACCATGGGCAAAGCTGAGAACGATGTCCCACCATCAATGCTCCAGGTAGGCAGGCACCTCCCTCCATACACAGAGACGCGCACACAGAATGCAAAGGCATAGCTGTCCCTGACATCGGACACCAAAGCAGAAAACCCAGCGACATTCCAGCCAGCAAAGACATACGAGAGATTCACAGCACAGCACTTAAACTTGTATTCACACCCTAAGTTAATACCATCTCACTATTTAACCAGAAAAACCTCTTTGAAGGCAGAGAGGCATAGCAAGGTACAGCTCTTGTTTATTGTTTGTCAAGAGCTTCAACTGACAGGCTGGAAAACATGTTCCCAGGTATGTGGCAGCTCATTCTCTGACCCGGACACCAGACTGCTCCACTGCCACCGCTTAGGACAGGCCTTTGCTACAGGAATTTGTATTTGAATGGATCAAACCAGTAAAAGACTGAAGTTATTTGCCCATCAAAATCATTTAGTCAGACATCAAAGTGTGGAACTGGCATCCTTACAAGCTTAAGGCCACAATCTGAATTCAACCAGTACCAACAAACTCAAGGTTTTGGTTAACCTAAGCTAAACATTGGTCATTCTGCAGAATACCTAATGAGAAATTAATTGTGGCCAAAGGAATAGATGTCAAAGCAATTGAGCCGCAACTCTCAGGTTTTCAGCTGACCAGTAAGTACAAAAAACATTTCATGATACACTTGTGTTGGCCAAAAATCTGTGCTGGACAACAGTATGACTTGGCAGATTTTTAGTCTTGTACAAATGCCTGAAAACAAAATCTTGGGGCTTCTGCCCTATCTTTAACCCATAAAAGAGCTCTTTATTATTGTCTACTTTTTTTTTTTTTAAATTTATGGTGTTTCTACTCATGGCAACTGAAGTACTAGAACTGTAGCTAGGAAACATAAACTTTGAATTAAATTTAGGCCAGGGTATTGTGGATTTACAAAAAACAAGCTATGATTAAATTACTGCTGGAGAAATGATGTCCTATCTTTTAAAAGCAGAGAATGATTTACATACCAATTGATCCAAATAGTATTTCTGGATCCTTGGGCATGAACAGACACATTATAAACAGCCCCAAGAAAATGTATGTTGACACATTGAATTTTCTATGTCAGATACATAAAAACAAGGTAGCAACGGAAATAATGAGCCCAACCAAAAAGACATCTGGTTGCTGAATTTTTTAAACAGAAAATGCACCATGAAATCAAAACTCCCCAGTGTTCAGGTTTCCATGAAAAGCTTAACACCCTTAGAGCCGAGGTACTCTGTAGAAGAACCATGCCTGTTTTTTCCTTTAACTGACATTCTATTGTTTCTCTGAAGCTGAGAGCAATGACTCCACTCAGTGCTCTTGCCAGCTCACTCCTGCTTGCTTGAAACACCCAAAGCAGCAATAGCTCCAGCTCCTCCTGCCACTGCAGCCAGCCCAGAAGGTGAAGCAAACTGCACCTGAAAGGTCAGTGGGTACAGTGCCTGCTCCCCAGCTCTCTGGTTGGGTGCACCAGCACGAGAACCTCTCCTAAAGACACCAAAACGTGTGGCTGAGGTCCGTGAGACTGAAGACACTGCTGTGGTGTACAGGCTTCTCCCACTCTACACCATACTGCACCACCTCGTCTAAGGCAATGAAAAGTACTCCAGAAATTATTCACAGTCACAATGACAACTCCTGGGAAAACCGCTGCTTGTAAAAGATAATTAAACTTTTATCACCACGTGATCAAAACTAATCAAACAAGGAATCTCAAGGTTCAGGCACACTGACAAGGCTATGCCACCATACACTGTGATGGACAGATACATGGTAGGCTCCATTTCAGTTAAGTGTACACAGCCATGGCCCCCTGTCCTCCAGAAAATTCAATGTATTCCTTTCAATTTATAGGAACATATGGAAATATGATTGTGATACAAGTGGAAAATAAGTGTTAACCACCCACACCTAAGGTTCTGTCACATCTTATGCTACCGATGACAACACATTCAGTCAAACAACGGTAGTGACATTTTAATCTATTTCTTCATTAAAAACTAGCATCATTTGCACCAAGACAGACAAGTATATTTGGTAGAACATCTGTGTTCTATAATTCTCGTCTCATGGAGACAAAAAGGTGGGAAGATGAGAAAGTGGGTAGCAGGAGTCCTGCTATAAGAAAGACTGGAACAAATTAATCTCTTACCAGGCCTGGGATTTCTCCCAGAAATGGTGACCCCAGGGTAACATTCCAGTATACCCCTCCTGACACTGGACTATTATTTTTTATTTTAATTGTGCCACAAGATGTCCCTCTCACGTTGTAATTTTCTTAATATAGTGTATTTATCTGGTACAACAGTTCATGGTTTTTTCCTTTCAACATTACTTCCTCCCACACAGACCTATATTCAAAAGCTTTTTATTTTCCCCTCAATATTGTAAATGTCAGGTTTTTAATGTTGATATTATGAAGAACTTCTCCACTGACAGATTCAGTAGCTGCATTAATCCTTTCTAAAATTTGTTTGTTGTGGCTGTGGTCTCCTTTGTTTTGTATTATGATTATTTATCTTTTTTAGCGCGTCTGGCTGGCTTTACACCTTTTCTACTCGACAATACTTTCCATCCACCTATGCCTGTCAAGAACATGCAGTATTGTTCCTGCAGGTGTCCGTTAACACCTGGAGTGAGTCCCCATGTGTCTTCTGCTACCTTTCAGTGGCTGGAAGCCTGCAGATTAACAGCCCTAACTGTGATTGCCAAAGTGCTACCAGGACCAGATGCCTCTCCCAGGGATTGTCTAGATCGTTTTACCTAGAGCTTGCTTTCTGTCCCCAGTAGGGACATGACCTTAATTCACTGGGCTGGCTTTCATCCACACTCCCCACCACCAGCATGGCAATCTGGAGCTGCTAAAAGCTTTATTATTGCACACAGATGGTGTGCAAATTCTCAAAAGTAATTTGTGGAAGCACCACGATGGCGAAACTTCAACCTTCCTGCAACAACACAAGTGCAGAGAACAAAACCCCCCAGCCAGTGTGTGGCAAAGAAAACCAGAGCAAATAATTAATATATGCTGCCATGATGACTACAACACAATGAACACACCTTGAAACACAATTTCAATGCCATTTTTAAGTCATATTCAAGAAGAGAGCTAGACACAGCTCTCCTGAATGGTAGAACACGACACCAGACATTTCCTTTTTAATCCTTCAGCAGTCACAACTCAACAGTGAACACTGAACTATTCTTTCAGCAATTAATCTGCAAAGGAAAGAAGAAACCAGAGATTACCTGAGCCTGCCCAGAAAAGCAACCAGCAGAAGAAATACTGGGGTGCTGCATCCAACAATCTGTGCACAAGGGGAAAAGATCCCTGAAACAGGTCAGAAGGTTATGATCTGTCAACACAGATCCTTATTAATTTGGGACTGTGCTGCTGCATGGGGTCAGAAAAAGCCTGGCAGAAATCAAATGCAGCTACAGGAATAGAGGGCAACATGAAGAGAGGAGGGGCACTGCATTATGAACACAGGTTTCCTGCATCTCTTGCTCGCATTCCAGGGCATAGGTTATACATGGACTCCTTGTGCTCCTGCACTACACCACAGCAGTTATTCTCACATAAACCCCCTTCAAGGCACGGTAATGCAAATATCTGCAGGCTTGCCAGAGAAGAATTGGCATTAGTGACATGCAAAACATGGCAAAGCATTACAAAGATGGGAAAGCAATGTAATATAATGGACCCTTGTCTTCATATAATTAGCAAATTTTTTCCCAGGAACATTTACTCCTATACATTGCTGCATACTGACTGTAACTGAGCTGCTATTTTAAGAGCAGTAAGAATTACTCACATTAGAACTCCAAAATTATCACATTTCATGCCCTAAGAAAAGCATGAAAAAAAATTAAGGCCAAAGTGCAGTCCAGCTTTATTATACTCTTGGCATAGACTACGTGCAAAGGGTCTGCAAATGTTGTATTGCTGGGCCTTGAATTCATGTTCTCCTCAGCCTCCCAAACAGTCCTTGCATTTTTTGTTTGTTCTCCTCTTCAATAGCTCCACATAGCCACTGAGAGATAACCCTATTTAAAACCTTGCACTTCTTCCACTGCCTGCAGACTGAAGAAATCCCAATTCCCCAAATTTTTGTTCTCAAACACCAACCTCTGTCCCTTCTACAGGAATAGTCCCGGCCTGTTTCCGTATTTAAGACACAACAAAACAAACAGCCATGGCACTGGGCTAATATGGCACCTCCAGATTAGGGAAATGTCATTTTTATTTGCTTGAGCTGGCTATGGCAGCACACTGCTGATGTACCACAGACCTCATGAGACCACAGCTTGAAAACAGCCACTCAGGACCCATTCTCTCTAATTCCTTAATTAGTTTCCATGCTGAATGACCACTGCAGGCATAGCCAGTGCTTTTGAGCAGAACACAGTGCAGGAGCAGCCTACTCTCCCTTACACTTGGACTCTAGAGATGCTTCCAACAT